TATATATATATATATATATATATATATATAAATATAATCTAATATCTAATTGCGTAGGATTTGTCGCGCGGCACGCGTGCACGAGTATTCGCCTTCGCACGCATTTCAGTACATCAGGATTGGGCACACACGTATTAGAGTTGGGAGATACAGTATCGATACATAGGGAAATAGGGTTTTCCCCCGGAAAAAATAAGATTTTCTTCCACAAATTGCGGTGGGAAAACCCTATTTCTCTGGGAGAAATTCTTATTTCCCTATATATCAATAGTGTTTCGCCCAACTCTACGCGTATGCGACGATCGCGTTTGATTGAAACCACAAAATCAACACACACACACATACGCACGCACGTACATACACAAGCAGTTTCTCCCGCGCCCAGCGACCGTCAAACGCAACGTTAGATGCGTGCTCACGTAATTGTACTACGGCAATATTATAATCGTCATCGACATGTAATACTGGACGGAGCATCGGGCTACGAAATCGTATTGACAGACGTAGAAAGAAACAGGGCGATGTGCGGGTGGGAACAACTCATAGAGCAGCGGGGCCACAAGGCATTCACAATTCTATTATTTTAATTCATTTTTTTTACAACAGTAAGAATATAGGATACAAGGATGCAAGGAAAAGTTGAAACATAAAAAATGTTTGCAGAGTATATAACGTATATCGTATATCGCTCGTATATAGTAACGTCGAGGATGCTGCCAACTTTTAAGAATACGATACCGTTCCTCTTGTACTTAAACAAAATTTCACCAATGAACGGAGGGCAGAAAGAGAGATCTGTGCCTAAACATCTGACTCTCTCTTTTTAGGTCTTTCGATACGAAAGATCAAAGAAATCTTGCCGCAGTCTTGCTCCGTCCGATACTATATATATGTCGATGGTAATCGTGAGGTGGTGATAGCAATATAGCAGCAGCGGTGACAAGCCAATACAACGCACCATACTGACATTCGGTTGGTTTTTTTATCCTCGATAATAGTAACAATTCCTCTCGCTCTCGTTCTCCTTGTTCTCTTCCACGAACGGTTGCGTGTACGCGCACGCGCGGTCAGCAGATCAAAGGTTACAACTTACTCTTTTGTCCGATGAATTTCGTGCAACGCATCTCGCGCGTATTCAATACACCGAGAGAAGAAACATAAAAAAAAATAAGAATATTTATTCAGCTAATGACGTTACTTAGCTAATAACGTATTTATGTACACCGGTATACACACATTTTTACACTGAGAATTAACTTTTCTCAGATAAAAAATTATATATTTTCTTAAATCTGTAACTTCGTATAGAAGCAATTATTTGTTCTATTTAAATAAAATAATTTAGGAAGATTTAAAGAAATATATTGTTAGTACCCGCCGACTAAATATCTCTTATTTTGTAGATATTTTTTCTCGCAGTGTAGAAAAATGTATCTCCTGAGAATTACTGAGAAATAAATTCTCCTGTTAGACACAGGATGTATTGCGAAAATCATCTTTGAAGGAAAAATGTTGCAACGTTTAATTCGCCGATTTCCCTCTTACCGATCGTCATAATAAACTTTACTATGACATCGACAAAAACATTTATATATACATTATATAT